CTTACGACTGTTGCAGCATCCCCACAGTCATGAGAGGCCAGGCGAGGTGATGCGTGCCTCAATGTGAGTGATATTGAGTTGGCCACACCCAGCCAATAACATGACCACCAAGCCACTTCCACCCAGTCACATGACCACCAAGCCACACCCACCAACTAAGCCACACCCAACGAACCAGTTGTTAAAAAATTTGAATCCCACCCCTGCCCCCAACCTTTTGGGCACCAGAGACCCATTCCAAGGAGAGAGGTTTTTCCACGGATTAGAGAGGGCGTGATTTCACATGCTGCCTGCATCCTACAAATAGGGCTTCGCTTGTTTATGCAGCGCTTTTTCTGGTATGCCCCTGCCCGCTACTGGGCCATGGACCTGGGGGTGGGGATCCCTGAACTACAAGACCTCCAAGGTCTCTTCCAAGTTGTGATTCTGTATTTCTTAATGCTTTTACACTGCTTTTGATCATTCTAGCTCAGAGCAGCTGGACAGCAGCTGTTAGGGTAAAGAAATGGCATTGGAACAGACTGGAGGCATCGGCTGGGCTGATACGGCTTAAATCTAGCTTTGCAGAGAAACCACAGCTCCCATCTTACCTGCACGACATAAGGCATGCTGGGTTTATAGTAACGGTCTACGTGTTCAAAGATAATTTTGCTCAATGTGGACGTGACCTCAATGGATTCTGTGGCAGTCACCTCCACTTCTGTTGAAGAAAAGTGTCATCTGCAAAAGGCTGGACAAGGGGTTGGAATAGATGATCTCTAGGGCCCTCCCATGTGCAAATTTCTCTGATATGTCTATGAAGATTCTCAGTCATCCAAGTCATGGTTGTCCCAAAGGTGCTTTTTCAAGATGGAACTGGACATTCTGGTTTTGCTTTGAAGATTCGCTTTACAATCCAAGAAACTCCTTCAAAGAACTGAAGAAGCTTCTTGGATGAGAAGTGAAACATCTTCAAATAAAAACAAGGAAGTCCAGTTGCCTCTTGAAAAGCACATTTGGGATTACTCTGACATACTAATTCCCTCTGTTAGTTTGAATTTGCCACTCAGTAGTCCTTTAAACATTTCCCCTGTCCAGTTGTGACTGGCTCAAAGGGGTAATGTGCATCTCCAATTCTCAGCCTGGGGAATTTCTTGTCTGAGAGACACTTCCATCATCAGGTGGCCAGCACAAAAGTATGGAACGTGGTAACCTTTCCTGCTGAAGAGATATCTATTTTTCTACCTACATTTGCATGCTTTCAAACTGCTAGGTTGGCAGGAGCTGGGGCGAGAATGGGAACTCACCCAATCCTGCAATGCTTGGGATTCGAACCTGAGCTGTCAGCTTTCTTAACCACTTAGCCACCATGTTTTTTATGGGATATCAAATTTGATTAGTATGTCTCAGACTGCTTGGAACCAGCTGATTTCCCACCCCCCCCCACACACAAAATCTCATCACTTCACATTCTGGGAAATGTTGGAGGAGAGAATAGTTTTCTCAATTATAACTCAGATGCCACTACTCTCTTAGACTTAGACACGGGGTGTGTTTTTCTATTAAGGTTGACTCAGCCTTCCATCTTTCTGAGATGAGTAAAAAGACGACTCAAATTTTTGGAGACAATAGGCTGACTCTGTAAACCACTTAGAGAGGGCTGAAATAGCAATAGCCCTTAGACTTATATACCACTTCACAGTGCTTTACAGCCAGAGGTGGTATTTAGCCGGTTAGGACCAGTTTGAGTGAACTGGTATCAGAAATTTTCCTGTTCTAAATTCCCTTGTTTTTTAGCTCAGCTGATTCACACAGCAAAGTGGATTGCTGCATCTCAGCTGAGCTAAAAAAACAGCTCACTTCACCAGTGCTGATACCGAGGGCGGCCTTTGAGAGCTGTGCTGCACAAAGCGCGCTCTCGTAGAACCAATCGCACCACTGTCTGGTCCTGCCCATCCCACCCACTCCGCCCCACCTTGTCCTATATATCTTGCCTTTGTCACGCGGCCCAGCTAATATCTGCACCTCACCTGCTCTGCTCACCAAAGGTAAGCATGCCACCTGCTTGCCCTTCACCTCGGCCAGGTCAGGGAACACACCATTCCTTGGCTCTGGAGAGAAATAGCAATAGGCTGCTGAGAGAAACAGCAATAGGCTGCTGCTTCTCTTTGCTGCAGCGCTTTCCGGATCGGACTTAGAGGACCCAAAGCGGCGGCTCACAGCTGCTCTCATTCTCCAAGCAAGAGCAACAGTGGAGAGAAGCAGGCGCTGCCCCGGACAGCAAAGATGGAGGGCAACAGGCTCCAAAAGGCTGTACAGTCGACCTTTGCAGCACGGCAAAAGCTGCACATACACAGAAGCCATGTGCCGTGCTCATACGCGGAAGCCCTGCACGTGCGCTCACATTTTCAGCAAACCAGTGGTGGGATTATTTGAATCTCACCACTGTTTACAACCCCCTCTAAGTGGTTTACACAGTCAGCCTATTGCCCCCAACAATCTGGGTTTTCATTTTACCCGCATTGGAAGGATGAAGGCTGAGTCAACCTTGAGCCTGGTGAGATTTGAACTGCCAAATTGCAGTCAGCAGGCATTCAGCAGAAGTAGCCTGCAGTACTGCATTCTAACCACTACGCCACCAAGAACTGTGAAATTGTATATAAGTCTAAGTGCTATTGCTATTGTTATCTCCCAAACTTTCCTAGTAGGAAACAGGAGCTTTAGGTCTGATTCTGGGCCATTCTGTCAGCCCGTTGGTGCTCTTTTGTTTCTTGAAGGTTACCTGTTTCTTCCTCTATGATTTTGCCTTCTACGGTGATGGCCATCGAAAAGCCTCGCCACCTCAGGTGGAACTCCTCCATGTTCACCCCCTTGGAGAAGCAGCCATCTCCATCTGCCTGCATGCCACAACAACCAAGAAACAGCAGCCTGTGATCGCTTTGCAAATACCTTGTGTTCGTTATTTTCCAGCAACAGAACCTTTTCAACCTGATACCTTCTAGGTGAGTTGGAAGCAACAGCAGAGCCAAGCCAAAGAGATGGAACCCTTGTAGGAAAGTGATTCAGCAGAACTTCCCTTCTGAAAACCTGTCTAAACTTACTCCTTAGCTCTTGCCTGCTTTTTAAGTGACAATTTAAATATAGTCTGAAAATCGATTTGTTCTTTACGTTGTCATTACTTTTACTCCAGTAGTCCTTGACTTTTGACCATAATTTAGCCCAACATCTCTGTTGCTTAGTGAGACATTTGGTAAATGGTTTTTCCCTATTTGACAACTTTTTTTGTCACCATTGGTAAGTTAATAACATGGTTGCTAAGTGGATCTGGTTTCCCCATTGACTTTGCTTGTCAAAAGGTCACAAAAGGTGGTCCCATGACCTCTGGAACACCGCAACCATCATAAATATGAGTCAGTTGCCAAGGGTCGAAATTTTGATCCCATGGCCATGAGGATGGCGCAGTGGTCATGCGTGTGAAAAACCCATTTTCGTTGTTCTTCCATACTTTGTCGAGAAGGTATGAGGCCCCATGATCATGATACACCTCCCTCCCTTGTAGGTAAATATTCTCGGCTGTGCAAATCTTCCTTGTGAAACATTGTGAGAACTTTAGCCACCCA